ATCCCCCACCGCCCCACTGCTGGTGCTGCTGGAAGGGGAAACCAGGGCTTTATTTCACTGTCCGGCGGTGGCAGAGGCTCCAGGTTCCCTCTCTGGAAACAGGTCCCCGAGCACAGGCCACCTCACATCACCTCTCTCGGCTTCAGCCTCCTCACTCCATCACCCCCCTCTCCCTCCCGGTCGCCCCCCCCCTTCCCCACCCCACAGGACACCCTTTGGGGACAAGGAGCATCCTCTGCTCCCAGCCCTGCTCCCACCCAGCCCCAGCCCTGCCCAGAGCGAGGAGCCGGCGTCGAGGGGACACCGAAGGGACCCCACCGGTTTGCTTCATACGGCAGTTTTCGGTCCGTCCTTTCCCTCGTATTTATAACTGTACAGACTGGGGGGGAGGGTCTCTGACAGGCGTCATCTCTCACCACGCATCTATCGTAGGCAATGGTAACTTTCTTGATCGTGCTATTAGAGTTTGTGTATGTGGCAATGTAAAGAACTGTGTATAGTGCATTGTACAGCATATTTTCATGAATAAAATTGTTTTAAATATTACAAGGCGGGGCTGCTGCCTTCAATGCTTACATGTGTCTGAGCTGAGACAGGAGGGACAGAGCTGGACCAGTGAAGCTGAGGGGACCTGGGGAGAGAGCCACCAAGGAGAAGATATGATGTTTGGTGAAACTGAGCTTGCACCCAGCACGGGGATGGTTGGGCTGTGGAGGTATACATGCAGTCCTACCTGGACACAGACCTCTGGACATCGTCTGGGGCAGTCTATAAATATATGTATTTACTGTCTTTTAACAGTATTTTCTGAGACTGACAGCCTGCCTCAGTGTCACCACTGCCCACTGCAGTGGTGGGGGACAGTGCCCAGCTCGTGGAGGTGCTCATGCCCTGCACCCGCTGCCACAAGCCCCTTCGCTCCCCGGTGAGGTTCCCTGAATGCAGTCCCCAGCCACTGGTCTGGAAGTCCCCTTTTTCAGCAGCTGTTGGAGCCCTTTGGACTGAAACTTCCCCTTCTTGTGAGTGAATTTATTTCCTGCCTTGGAAAAAAAATGCCAAAGTGACTGAAGGCTGTGGCTTCTATTTTGGGCAAGGATTTAGGGTCTTGGGTCAGAGTGGGTTGGGAAAAAAAACCTCTGTGGTTCACGGCTCAGGGGCAGAGATGGGTCTCTGCTCTAATACCCCTCAGTCAGCCCTGAGAAGGGGGCTTGGCCATGCAAGAGTCTCCCCAGTGTCCATCAAAGCTGATTGGAGAAGCTAAAACTCCTCTGAGAACTAACCCGATCGCTTTCTATGACGAGGTGACCCCCTTAATGGATGAGGGAAAGGCTGTGAATGTTGTCTACCTGGACTTTATTAAAACATTTGACACCATTTCCCTCAGCATTCTCCTGGAGAAACTGGCTGCTCATGGCTTGGATGGGTGTTAAACTGGCTGGCCAGCCGGGCCCAAATAGTGGTGGTGAATGGAGTTAAATCCAGTTGGCAGCTGGTCACAAGTATTCCCCAAAGCTCAGTACTGGGGTGGGTTTTGTTTAATATCTTTTTCAACAACCTGGATGAGGGGGTTGGTAAGTTTGCAGATAACAGCAAGTGGGGCAGGAATGTCGATCTGCTGGAGGGCAGGATGGCCCTGCAGAGGGATCTGGACAGGCTGGATCGATGGGCCAAGACCAATGGTGTGAGGTTCAACCAGGCCAAGTGCCAGGTCCTGTGCTTGAATCACACCAACTCCATGAATGCTACAGGCTTGGGGAGGAGTGGCTGGAAAGCTGCCCGGCGGAGAAGGACCTGGGGGTGTTGGTCGACAGCCAGCTGAAGAGGAGCCAGAGCAGATGGCCCAGTTGGCCAAGAAGGCCAACAACATCCTGGCGTGTACTAGAAATAGTGTGGCCAGCAGGACTCGGGCAGTGATCGTCCCCCTGTCCCTAGCACTGGTGAGGCCCCACCTCGAGTGCTGTGTTCAGTTTTGGGCTCCTCACGACAAGACAGACATTAAGGTGTTGGAGCGTGTCCAGAGAAGGGCAATGGAGCTGGTAAGGGATCTGGAGGACACGACTGGTAAGGAGCGGCTGAGGGACCTGGGGGTGTTCAGCCCGGAGAAG